CGGCGAAATGAATATTTTTGTATTTTGCTGTAGCTGATTGGCATGTTATGGTCTTGCGCACGCGCAATGCTCGAAAACCTCGGAAAGGGCACGGACGGGTAGTGGGACGAAGCTACGGCGGTGGATGAACAGGTAGCGGGAGACTTACAGGCAATATGGAGGGAAATTATGGGAATTCTCATGAATGGACCGGGATCCGGGAGGGACAGGGAGGGAACTGGAGGGAACTGGAGGGAACTCGGTGGGAACTCGGCGGGAACTGGGCGGGAACTGGGCGGGAACTGGGAGGGAACTGGGAGGGAACTGGGAGGGAACTCACGGAGGGTGGCGGGAACTGGGCGGGAACTGGGCGGGAACTCACGGAGGGGTGGCGGGAACTCGGCGGGAACTCGGCGGGAACTCGGCGGGAATTCGGCAGGAGTTGTAGCAGATTTCCTGGAAAGCACTCCGATGCCTCAAAAGCCACAAAAATGTCTGCCAAGACTGCGATTTGCTCTATGTCCGCACCAAACATGAACATCATAGCTGGATTTCGCCAACGCAAGCTTTGCAGCACACAAAAACAACAAAATCTTTAAACAGGATTACATCTTATACTTACATGTGACAACATAATACGGCACGGTGATAGCAAAGCTTGCATTGAGCCCACAGATCACGATATGAGAGACTTCAACCATAATTATTTGCGACAACTAAACATAACGTTAAAATGGTTGAAGACCGGCCGTGCTTTTTGCTTGAACCTGTCTTGAAGCCCCCGGCTGGGTGTGGCCTCTGAATCTTGACACGAAACTCTGCGGTCGGATGCAGCGAGTCCCTGAAACCTAGTCTGACACGCCTGCCGTTGCTGTTCTAGCTTATTTATTTTTATCCCTGACTCGCTGCATCAAAATCTACAGCGTTTTGCCTCAGCCGCTGCTCTTGGAAGCACCGCCACCCCCGCTCCATAGGGATTTTCCCAAGGCAACCAGGTCCATGAACGTCTTCTCTCTCATCTGCTGCGTTGCCGGGTTAGCGGCCCGGCTCTCTGATCCTGGCGCTCCTGGGCCTGGGATGCTGCTCCTCCGCATTCTCGGACGATCCGTGCTTGCAGCGCTTCGGCTGCCGCGGCTCGGAACTCCGCGAGTGCTGGAAGCCTGCTCGCGCTCACAGCGGTGCTCGTGGTCTCCACGCTGCTCGCACTCTGCGATGCCTGCGGCGCTTCTCGTCCGCCCCATGGCCGCTCTGGCGGCGGGTCCTGGAGCAGGACCTGGAGCGCCTCTTGGCCTCCTCACAGTGAGGGCCATGACTGCGGTCGTCCTGCCTGCGGCGCTTCGTCTTTTCGGGTTTTTGCTGCAAGGCTCTGTACCCGTAGCCGTAGCCCTCGACGCGCATGCTCTGGGCCTTCTTGTTTCTCTTGTCCGGTGGACGAGGTGCGCGGGAGCGGGCATGGGTGTAGCTCTGGCACATGCGTTCATGCTGGTGCCGGTCCCACTCGCGCCAGAACTTCTTGCCGCAGCTTCGGCATGCCTTGTCCTTGGCCGGCCAGGCGCCGCCTCCGCTGTTCCCGCCCGAACTCCACCACGTCTGCCAGGCCGAGTTCTTGTCCAGGCGCAAAGCCAAGCCCATGGCCGAAACCTTGGCCGCGCAGACCAGGCACTCTACCTTGGCATTGGACCAATTGGACGGATCCGCCCCATCGTCCAGGCCCACCAATAGGTCTCTGACGCAGAAGCTTTTCACTCCGTTGCGCGGGTTTCCCCACGGGCCATGCACAGTGTCGAGCAGAGGGAGCGGGCTGCGGCTTCAGCTTTCTCTCACTGCGGCGGCCACGTTGGCGCTCGCGGGCTGCCTCGGTTTCGGCTTCAGGCGCCTTGTCACCCTTGCCCTTGTCCTCCTCCGGCTGCGGCGGCTTCTCATTCTTCTCATCTTCGCTGTTCTGGTAATCTGCCGCCGGCTCAACCGGCTCAGGCGGGTCCGCGGCCGCGTCCTTAGCGTTGTCAGCCCCCACCAACTCACAGGCGAAGAAGACTTGTCACCGCTGGAAGTGTAGGAACCTGAGTTCGAGGCTGCAGTAGTTGCAGTAGTGCCTGCAGTGGCTGCAGCTGGCAGCGGCGGGGCGGCAGCCGTGGTTCCGGCTGCCTCGGCGGCATCCGCTGCAACCGCCGGCTTCACGTCCTTCAGCTGCGGCGGCGCCATTGGTGCTGGCTGCACAGCGGCTTTGGGAGCTGGCATCGGGACCTGTCAGGGTAGAAAACATGTATAATGATAACCTAGTATAACATACCATAGCAGTAGCAATAGCAATAACAATAGCACATGTTAGATTGGCTTGCGCACTTCCTGTGTCCTTGGCACTGTCGCATGAGCGTAGCAGTGCCCACAGGACTCCAGCAGGACTGGATGACTCTCCCCTGCCTTGGGCTGTCGCTTCCGCGGAGCAGCCCAAGCACAAGGAGACTTGCATGGCCATGACTCCTTGGCACCATCGCACATGCGGAATGGTGCCCACAGGAATGATGGCAAGGCAAGACTCTTTCAAGAATGCTGTGTACTTGTCAAGACAACGTGTCACACAGTGTCATAACGCACTTGCAAAAAGACCCGGCTGGCCTCGGTTGTGGCCATGCGCCTTTTGGGCTTCGCCTTCGGGTTCCTTTTGGGTGCCTGTGCACCCTTTAGCTTGCAATACAGCCTCCACAGCATTAAGGCATTGAGGCTGCAAACAGCTGCGGGACGAAGCAACTAAGCAAACTCAACAAGTAAGCAAGCACAAGGTATCCTACAATGAACATTTCGCACATCATGCATGCCGAAATGCAATCACTCATACGACAAAAAAATATTTCACCAAAGAAGTGCGGAGACTCCAGCTATCAAAATTATTGCCCCGTTGCTGCTCTGGCCAAGACTAGGGCATCCACTTCGGCATCAGGCGGCTTGAACTCCTTGTGTGAGCTGGCGCTGCGGAACTCCGTCGCTGCCTGCAGCCAACGCTGCAGGTAGGCGACGGCACGTTCCCGGCCCCCGACTTTATGCAAGAACACATACAGCCTACAGTCGCTGTGTTCAGAACATGGCAGAAAAGCTCTGCGTTGGCCGCT